CCCCAAAACCCCAAACCCCAAAACCCCAAAACCCCAAAACCCCAATAAATTAGTATAATAGAATTAAAATAAAATGGACAGTCATATGGAATCAGTTGCGTCTATTATCAAACGTTATAAGGTCGAAAGAAACAGTATTCTTAGAAGTATTAAATCTTGCTCAAGGATACCTGCCAGAGTTGATCAGATTAGTAGTAAGTTTTGGAAGCTTATCAGAATTATGAGGAACTTATTCTCAAATATCTATTTCCCTTCATCGCTTCTAGGCCTATAATGTCCATAGTAATGACTTTGAGCTTTAAGTCTTAGTCACTACTTTAAGTTATTCAAGCTACTCGACTTGAATGAGAGAGTTTTAATTAAATGTTTAGAGCAACTTGATAAGGAGCAGAAGGTGATACAGAGGAGCATATATTCCTTGACTAATCCTTGTAAATCTCCTTTGTATGAATCACGAGCTAGAAAAGTGAAAGTTGACCGTCACATGTCTCTTGAGAAGAACGACTTTATTGAAAGATCCAAAGTATTCCATAAAGTAAGTTCTTATTAACTGGAAAGATTAGCAATGATAATAATCTGTCAGGAAAAATTCAGGATAAGCTGAGCAACCATCTATCAACCCTTCAGACAACCAATGATTGAAGTAATGGATCAAAGTTTATGATTCGCCATGTACCAAGCTTAAGGAGACTAGGTAAGTTCTGTGTTTACCAACCTAGCTAGTAGATTCAACTAACAATAACAATGAAAATACGAACAAGTACTTGCACACGATCGATAATTGAGTATGGCATTCTAATTTCCGACCATGTTATTAGAGAAAACGAAATAATTTAGTTTTATAGAATAAAACTCTTGATAAGTCGTCTGTAATTGCTGGTAATTTAACTCCAAATAATTCGCTAGAAAAACTCCAAAGATCAAATTTAACCGCCCGAAGAAATAAATTTAGTACATTTTTGGGCTTATATTTAGATATGAAAAGACTCCAGGTTCGGACATTCATTGAGGATTATCATAGTAAGAATATGTCATCTATCGAAGTTTGTTTTGTTAACACTTTTAATCCCATTATTTTAATGGTACAAAGTGCCGTTTTTAACAGAAAAATACCATTTATACAGAAACAGGAAGGAAATTTGATTCCAATAAGCCTAAACTTTCTCCCTTCCCTTTGAGCTCTGCAAGCAGAAACCAACTAGATCCAGCTAGTAAAATATTGAATAACAAAGTAGGTTCAGGAGTTAGAAAGAGGAAGTCTACCATCTCAAGGTTGCTTGATAATAAATTACCTCTAAGCAAAGATGTTCCAAGTCCAAAGTCAATACTCAGTAAGTCCTTAGGGACGCATGAGTGTTCTTATCCTGTTGTATAGGCAATAAGGAGTCAGAGTCTCCAAAATCAACCCTTAGCTTTGTGTATGACCCTCTGAAATCTGGAGTATATTCATCAAGATCATCGTTATAGAAATCTGGGCCTCATAACCATGAATATTTAGTCTTTTTAATGCAGCTTAAGAGATTTGAGACCTGGAAATATGACGACATTGCTGACTTAATCAAAGCTATGAATGTCTGCCATGTCGAAGAAGGCAACACGATCTATAACATAGGTGACAAATCAGATTATTTTTATATAATCTTGCAAGGAGCAGTGTTTTTGGAGACCAACTTTCAAACTTCTAAACAGATTCGCTATCCTATTGGCACCAACAAATGGGAGACCCAGACAGTTACGAACACTAGTAAGACTTCTGCTGATTTTTATAGTCTCTTACAGAGTAGCTGAACTTGAATGAGGAGATGTCTTTGGTCATGAAGAGATCATCTCCAATAAGGATAGAATCTGCAAAGCAACAGCTGTTGAGAAAGCTCTGATCCTGAAGCTTCAAAACTGCAAGTTCATGAACTTTTTCGCAAAAGAGATTGAAAAAGACAGAAAAGCTCTCAAGAACAGAAAAGCGGTGTTACATAAGGATTTTAATTTCTTTGACACTATTGATATCGATGAGATCAAGAAAATTCATGAGGAGAACGAACTAACCAAAAAGAAAGGGTTGAATTCAATCTTGAATGCACTGAATCTAAATCCTATTGAGATATCAGGCAGAGAAATGCATTCAGAAGATAGGTCCCTTAACAAGTTCAAGTATGTCTTCAAGAAAATTAAGAGCAATGTGGGTATCGGAAAATCAGAAATCAGACACAGAGATAGAACTAGGATAATCAAGCAAAAGCATTGCTTTTCTAAAAGCCCTTAATTGCATAGATTTAGATGTGTAATTTCAGCAGAAGTATCTCATTAGGGGTTTTGGGGTTTTGGGGTTTTGGGGTTTTGGGGTTTTGGGG